TAACGGCTTCTCCAATGGTTTCATCGAAGACATCATAAGAAGGAAAGTGAAAAGCCATGCAACCTCCGAAGAGACAACTAACACAACACCTATACCCCCTATTAGACTATTTTACAGGAACTTCTTTTCCACAGCTCATAAAACAGAGGAAAGGGTCCTGAAAGATATTGTTAATAGAAACGTTATCCCTACAGACAAAAATCAGAGGATACAACTGACGATTTACTATAAAACCAGAAAAACGGCCAGCCTACTCATGAGAAACTCTCCAGACACAAAACAGAATGCTTTAAAAGAGACTAACGTCGTCTATGCCTTTAAATGCCCTCTTGGGGACTGTAAGCTCCAAAAAACCCAGTATATAGGCAAGACAACAACATCTCTTTCTAGGCGTTTAACGATGCATAAGCAACAGGGCTCCATTAAGGAACATATAATCTCTTCCCACAACCAAACCATCGCCAGAGAAATCCTAGTAAACAACACAGAAATCATCGATAGATACAGCGATAGCAGGCGGCTTGACGTTTGCGAGGCACTACACATCAAGAAGTCAACACCAGCAATCAACAGCCAATTATTGCACAACTATATTCTACCCACCTCAAGACTCCGCTCCAATATAGAAGCATCAAGAAATATGGACCAATAGGCTTTCTACAAACACTTCTATTCAATACCCATTGTTTCTGTTCTGTCTTGTGTTGATACTTTTAATACCCTATTAATATCCCCTAGTGTTCTGTCTTGTGTTAATGCCACATCACCCTTCCCACCTCACTCAAATGTAGATATAAAATCAGGGAAACGCAAGTTCTAATCAGTTGTGTATTTGTGAAGTCTTTGAAAATGTAATAAGTTTTACGAAACGCGCCCGTGTCGCGTCAGACTAGAAATAAAAATGAATTTTGGAGAAGTGATTTTTGATTTACCTCCAACAGTGAAGCGTAATGTACGAAAGATTGAGAAAATTCGTGTTAGAATTATTAATCTTACTTTTTCGGTCATATTTAATAATATATGTCTACAGGAAAGACTGCTACCAAAATATACTAATATATATATATATATATATATATATATATATATATATATATATATATATATATTTTAGAGGTTACCTTCGGGAATCTTAAGTTCATGATAAACAGGAACATGATTGGCAATACGAATATATTGTTTAATTAAAATATTTAAATAATCCAATTAAAATTCATAATGTTTCGAATACTCATTAGTAATCATCATTAGATCTAAAACATAAAAATGTTATTATAATTACCAGCTAACAAAGAACTTAGTCTGAACACGTGATTACATTAGTAAGCGACGGTAATTACGCTGTTTATTAAAAGACAAATACAACATTTACTGACGTAATGATCAAACAAAGTAAGATGTGATATTATTTACCCTTGATAGTAAGGACTAAAAAAATCAGAATCAAGATTCTAAAGATTCACAGATTCTATACAAGACTAAATTAAATACATCATTGTTAAATTACCCCATGTCGCACATTATAAAGATCCATGAATATTATAAATCAATAGACGCCCATTATATTCAATATCACATTTAAACATAATTATGAAGCACATCTTAGTTAAAAAACAGCACCAAATATATACATGAAGGGGCAAGTAAACAATTAAAAAATATAATGACAAATAAATTTGCGTGTCATTATATATGACACGCAACAACAACTTGATGAAATTTTACATTTCTGTAAATTGGACAGTTGACGCATTATTGTTCAACGGAGGCCGCAGCTCCCTCATATATAATGACCCCATAATGACTCCATACTTCACAGGTCCATTCAAGCAAGAGTTCACAATGTTCAAGTGGGACTCGTGTGAACAACGACCACACTCATGACACTCCTAACTTCTCAAGACTCTTGCTTCATTACTGGAAGACCAGTCCTAAGGGATATCCCCCCCTTCCTCCGGTATCCTAGTTTGGAATTTCCGAATAGACCGGTATACGATACTAGCGCTGAAGGGAATAGATACATTGCTCTAATATTTACAGTAAGACACAATGGGGTTGGTGTTAACAAATATAAACCCAAAGTGTGCCTGAGGATAACAGTGTTGTAAAGTGTACAACAAAGTAGGCACAGTGTTGTGCCTACTTTGGTGTAGGACCCAGTCTTGTTACCTGCTGTAGCCTCAAGAGCGGGTAAAGAATTATCTCTAGCACACTCTACAGTGAAGATTTATATTCCCATGTTGTACACTAAGGTGCTCTCTAAATTTGTCGACACGAGTAAAGTCCTTAAATAAAAGAGTGTCATCCACATAGACTGATAAATAGATAGATAGCGTGAGAGAGAGACACGCACACACAAATAGACAGAGACAGTAATACGAAGAAAGACAGAGAGCTATACAGAGAGAGAGAGAGAGAAGAGACATGATGGAGATAGAGATACAGGACTAGATAGAGATACAGCGCGACACAGAGACAAACACACAAGGCGACAAGAGACAAAGACACAGGGCGACACAGAGAGAGGTGGTGGACCCGAGCACAACAGGACACCCACATATACATGGAAGACATTAGGTCAGGTCCCAAGCAAAATAATAACATACTGGAGTGAACGATATGGTAGGAAGTGCAGAATAGAGCCAGTGAGAACAATGTCTGAACACCGCAGGTCCACGGATATTCAGTGTTCTCCTAACATATAATATTACCGGGAAGAGGAATAAACGTACTGAAGAAGAAATCAGTAACGTTCCTGCAGGAAGTGCCGGACCAATCAGGCTGTAGTGGATATGTGGGCCTGCGGACCGCTCCAAGCAACAGCCTGGTGGACGAAGTTATCACAAGACAAGCGTGGCCCCGGGCCGGTCTTGGGGAGGAGAACAACTCCCAGAACCCTCTCCAGGTATTGTTATCTCTCCGGTGTATATAATGATTGCAACATGTGCCTGAGCAGCGGTTGCAGGTTCCGTGGTGGTGTTGCAGCTGCACTCTCCACCTCCTCCTCCTTGAAGACAACTTGAAGCAGTCCGTCTTGCAGTCTCCTCACACCACCAGTGCCAGGCATTATTTACCTATTAACACCTGCCACCCTTCACACGACTCATTAAATGCTCTATTAAATTGTAAATTATTGTTTGTCAATACTCTTGGTCAACAAGACAAGGTCACGAGCAGGTATAGAGAATAACTAAGACGAAAGTTTCCCAGCCAGAGACGTCGTAAGTCACCGTGTTCCAAGGTCGTCTTATGATTATTGCTCATCTTACGATGAGCAAATAATATAATCAACGGAAAAGACGTTCAACTGCAACAAAATACATCTACTAACATATAAGACAAGATGCAGAGTGTGTATATGAGTGAGAGGCAGGCAGAGATGAGCCGTGTGGCCCCGTGCATGGCAGGGCGCCTCTCTCAGTCCTGGAGACTTTCAATGTTAGTAACTGACTTACACTAACAGTGAGGTGGTGTTGACGCCGGAGATGGGAGCCCACCAGGCCTCGACCCCTGAGGCCCGTCCCTGGGGGAGGCTGGAGAAGGACCCAGGACCCCTGAGGCACCCACACTTCCCCCAGGTCCCCGGGGGAGGCCAGGGGCGCGGGGTCCCACTCTACGGCCTCAGATACAGCACCTTGTCGTCATCTCATTGTGCCTAAACTACCAACATTTGCCTCCCTCCGGGCCTCGAAGATGACACCCCTAGAGCACTAACACCATCACATGTTTACATCAGTAATCATAGAGATCACTTGTATAAAGTAAAGTAAAACAAATAAAGACAAAGTCAGTCCAAGAAGACAAAACTTTTAAAATAAAGACATGTGTGAGGCGGTCTTAGGAACCTGTTAAGTTTGTGTTCAACCTGAGATAAAGAAGTCAGATCCAGCGAGGTTTATGTGAGTGAGTTCACCAGACTGAGGTCACCACACCTCAACATATATTACAACATATATATTATAAATGTTGAGAACATATATTATATATGAACAATTACCTAATCCATAATTGAGGAATGTTTTCACGAACTAGTCTCTATCCTTTCATGTAGCAGTGAGTGTCTTATTTTTTTTTTTTTTTTTTAGATATATACAAGAGTTGTTACATTCATGTACAGCCACTAGTACGCGTAGCGTTTCGGGCAAGTCCTTAATCCTATGGTCCCTGGAATACGATCCCCGCCGCGAAGAATCGTTGTTACAACCAAGTACACATTTTACTGTTGCGTTAAACAGAGGCTACAGTTAAGGAATTGCGCCCAGTAAATCCTCCCCGGCCACGATACGAACCCATGACATAGCGCTCGCGGAACGCCAGGCGAATGTCTTACCACTACACCACGGAGACTGTTAACTATATGTAGTTAACACACACATATAGTAAATATACTTCCCTTGCTTTTAGTCATCTCTTTATAACAATGAACAACACCTCCGCCGCCTTCTGAAAATGTTGCCAACCAATATACGAGTGACGGAAGGTCCCGGATGACTCGGGGGATACAAGGGTGTTCTGTGAGGTCAACCTCCAGGTGCAGGGGAGTCCCCTGGCCGGCTCACATCAACACAGACAATGTACAGTATTAAGTACAGGGTAACCAGAGGTATGAGGCGCTAGAAATACATTACTGTTACAACTCAGGAAAGAAATACCGGGTTATTAATCTCTGGGAGAGGTAAGCCAGGTCAGCCAGGTCTAGGGGAAGACCTGGCTTACCCCTGGGTAAGCCAGGTCCAGCCAGAACACTCCTCTATCCTGGCTGAAAGCAAGACAGGATGTGAGAGGGATGGGTAGAGGAAGGATAGGGGGGGGGAGGAGGGAGTGTGGGATGGCGTGAAGAATGTTGGATAGCGAGGAGGAGGAGGAAAGAGAGAGGGAGGGGGGATGGAGGGAGAGAACCCCAGCTATCCCCTATCCGTCCCCGTGCAGGCTGGAGGATGGGGTCATCGTCCAGGGTAACGTTAGTGTGGTTGGGGAGCAAGGAGGACGGGGGCTAGTTGGCAACCCTAGCCCCACTCCCTCTATATATACGTCTCTGGCACCGGCATGTGCAAACTTGCCCCCCAAGCCTCGCTCCTCACGCCTCTCCTGCACCGCTCTACGCTACACCCAGGTACAGTCCCGCCCCCTCACCTGTACCTCAGTCACGCCCCAGCCCTACCTCATGCAGACGACCACCATACACTGGTAGTCTCATGCACCAGCTGGGAACGACCATACACACACAGGTAGTCTCATACACCAGCTGGGAACGACCACACACACACAGGTAGTCTCATACACCAGCTGGGAACGACCACACACACACAGGTAGTCTCATACACCAGCTGGGAACGACCACACACACACAGGTAGTCTCATACACCAGCTGGGAACGACCACACACACACAGGTAGTCTCATACACCAGCTGGGAACGACCACACACACACAGGTAGTCTCATACACCAGCTGGGAACGACCACACACACACAGGTAGTCTCATACACCAGCTGGGAACGACCACACACACACAGGTAGTCTCATACACCAGCTGGGAACGACCACACACACAGGTAGTCTCATACACCAGCTGGGAACGACCACACACACACAGGTAGTCTCATACACCAGCTGGGAACGACCATACACACACAGGTAGTCTCATACACCAGCTGGGAACGACCACACACACACAGGTAGTCTCATACACCAGCTGGGAACGACCATACACACACAGGTAGTCTCATACACCAGCTGGGAACGACCACACACACACAGGTAGTCTCATACACCAGCTGGGAACGACCACACACACACTGGTAGTCTCATACACCAGCTGGGAACGACCACACACACACAGGTAGCCTCATACACCAGCTGGGAACGACCACACACACACAGGTAGTCTCATACACCAGCTGGGAACGACCATACACACACTGGTAGTCTCATACACCAGCTGGGAACGACCACAGACACACAGGTAGTCTCATACACCAGCAGGGAACGACCACACACACACAGGTAGTCTCATACACCAGCTGGGAACGACCACACACACACAGGTAGTCTCATACACCAGCTGGGAACGACCACACACACACAGGTAGTCTCATACACCAGCTGGGAACGACCACACACACACAGGTAGTCTCATACACCAGCTGGGAACGACCACACACACACAGGTAGTCTCATACACCAGCTGGGAACGACCACACACACACAGGTAGTCTCATACACCAGCTGGGAACGACCACACACACACAGGTAGTCTCATACACCAGCTGGGAACGACCACACACACACAGGTAGTCTCATACACCAGCTGGGAACGACCACACACACACAGGTAGTCTCATACACCAGCTGGGAACGACCACACACACACAGGTAGTCTCATACACCAGCTGGGAACGACCATACACACACAGGTAGTCTCATACACCAGCTGGGAACGACCACACACACACAGGTAGTCTCATACACCAGCTGGGAACGACCACACACACACTGGTAGTCTCATACACCAGCTGGGAACGACCACACACACACAGGTAGTCTCATACACCAGCTGGGAACGACCACACACACACAGGTAGTCTCATACACCAGCTGGGAACGACCACACACACACAGGTAGTCTCATACACCAGCTGGGAACGACCATACACACACAGGTAGTCTCATACACCAGCTGGGAACGACCACACACACACAGGTAGTCTCATACACCAGCTGGGAACGACCACACACACACTGGTAGTCTCATACACCAGCTGGGAACGACCACACACACACAGGTAGTCTCATACACCAGCTGGGAACGACCATACACACACAGGTAGTCTCAAACACCAGCTGGGAACGACCACACACACACAGGTAGTCTCATACACCAGCTGGGAACGACCACACACACACAGGTAGTCTCATACACCAGCTGGGAACGACCATACACACACAGGTAGTATCATACACCAGCTGGGAACGACCATACACACACTGGTAGTCTCATACACCAGCTGGGAAGGACCATACACACACAGGTAGTCTCATACACCAGCTGGGAACGACCATACACACACAGGTAGTCTCATGCACCAGCTGGGAACGACCACACACACACAGGTAGACCATCACACTAAACATACGACGTCTATACAGGAGACCGCTATACAAGCATACAGGAAAAACACACTGAACACATCTATCATATCCTCAGCTTATAGGTATAGATCTTGATTCACCCTTCGAATAGATCAAGTTCAGTATATGAAATGCAACTGCATAAGGAATTTTAAGGTTATAATGAATTGTGTTATTTAGGTTACAGTTTTGTTTCTGGTGAGGTGTGAGTGGGTGGCATTAAATGTTTAAATTTTGCCCCAAGGGGCAAGTTTATTGGGCAGCATCACTCATCCTGTGAGTGATGGCCATAGCAGCATGTACAACACTCCCCAATAGGAAGAAAACCCGCTGGGTTGTTCATCCTGTCACTTGTACCCAGACACAGCTGGGACTTGCTTAACTGTCTCAAGTGAACAGCTCCTCAAACAAGAAGATTAACATCTGTCAACCCTTAAAAGCTTACGTTATTTTGCGGGTGCAAAATGGGGGAATCTTTTAAGAACAGAATCAATGTTTGATAAATAGTGTTTTCCTAACTTAAACAATGTGGAGTTTATTACTCTACACATATTTCTAATGTCTCTCAGGTGTTCACATTCTCTCAGGTAGTGGTCAAGGCGGTGTCCATCACTCTCACCACAGATTCTGCAACTTCTCTGCTCAACTGTTGTTTCCATTCCGAATCTCCATGGATATTTGTATCCAAGACAGATTCTCGCTATTACTGAGTCTGGTGTTGTAGTCCTGACACTACCACCTGAGGCTGTCAGGCTCCGTGTGACAGTTTAGAGTCAGGAAGATGTGTTGAGTGTGTTGGTGTTGTGTTAAGTGTGTTGGTGTTGTGTTAAGTGTGTTGGTGTTGTGTTGAGTGTGTTGTGTTGTGTTGAGTGTGTTGGTGTTGTGTTAAGTGTGTTGTGTTGAGTGTGAGGAACCGACATAGTGGAACTCATCACAGCGTCTCCAGGCGCTGGAGTGAGTCATGGATGGGTCTCCAGGGGCTGGGGTGAGTCATGGATGGGTCTCCAGGGGCTGGGGTGAGTCATGGATGGGTCTCCAGGGGCTGGGATGAGTCATGGATGGGTCTCCAGGGGCTGGAGTGAGTCATGGATGGGTCTCCAGGGGCTGGGATGAGTCATGGATGGGTCTCCAGGGGCTGGGGTGAGTCATGGATGGGTCTCCAGGGGCTGGGGTGAGTCATGGATGGGTCTCCAGGGGCTGGGATGAGTCATGGATGGGTCTCCAGGGGCTGGGATGAGTCATGGATGGGTCTCCAGGGGCTGGGATGAGTCATGGATGGGTCTCCAGGGGCTGGCGTGAGTCATGGATGGGTCTCCAGGGGCTGGGATGAGTCATGGATGGGTCTCCAGGGGCTGGGATGAGTCATGGATGGGTCTCCAGGGGCTGGGATGAGTCATGGATGGGTCTCCAGGGGCTGGGATGAGTCATGGATGGGTCTCCAGGGGCTGGGATGAGTCATGGATGGGTCTCCAGGGGCTGGGATGAGTCATGGATGGGTCTCCAGGGGCTGGGATGAGTCATGGATGGGTCTCCAGGGGCTGGGATGAGTCATGGATGGGTCTCCAGGGGCTGGGATGAGTCTCCAGGGGCTGGGATGAGTCATGGATGGGTCTCCAGGGGCTGGGATGAGTCATGGGTGGGTCTCCAGGGGCTGGGATGAGTCATGGATGGGTCTCCAGGGGCTGGGATGAGTCATGGATGGGTCTCCAGGGGCTGGGATGAGCCACGGATGGGTCTCCAGGGGCTGGGGTGAGTCATGGATGGGTCTCCAGGGGCTGGGGTGAGTCATGGATGGGTCTCCAGGGGCTGGGATGAGTCATGGATGGGTCTCCAGGGGCTGGGATGAGTCATGGATGGGTCTCCAGGGGCTGGGATGAGTCATGGATGGGTCTCCAGGGGCTGGGATGAGTCATGGATGGGTCTCCAGGGGCTGGGATGAGTCATGGATGGGTCTACAGTGAGTGTAGTGCTCATGGGTGCTGTACACGTATATATGACCCATCATCTTTCACAATATAACTACAGTTTGGGACTTATTTTGTTATATATTCCTAATGACAATTTTAATTTGTCATGTGTAGGCCTATAAATGCTAGATGTGTGTTGGTGCGTAATTACCTGACTGTAGTTACAGGATGAGAACTACGCTCGTGGTGTCCCGTCTTCCCAGCACTCTTTTATCATATACCGCTTTGAAACTACTGTGCGTACGTGTATGCGCGCGCGTGTGTACGTGTTATGAGTGTATGCGCGCGTGTAGGTGAAGAGGCGCACAAGGAAACAAAGCAGGTTAGGTTAGGTTAAGCAGCGTAGTAGTGAAGATGCGTGGAGGTTGCAGAGTACTCCTAACCGGCCCGGGACGCCCACACCACTGTGTGGGTGTGTGGCCGGGATGGGCTGGGTGTGGGGCCGGGACGGGCTGGGTGTGGGGCCGGGACGGGCTGGGTGTGGGGTTGGGACGGGCTGGGTGTGGGGCCGGGACGGGCTGGGTGTGGGGACAGTGGTGGGATAATGGACAGGTGGCTTGATCATATGGATGAGAGGTGTGGTTACGGACCCTAACCGCTCATTCACCACTGACATGTGGACGGCCTCTCAGACTACTGTTTTCTTGTTCTATAAAGTATCATACAGCAATATATATTTGTTGTAGAGAGCTTTGATTCTTTATTGATCTGTTTATTTATTCTATAGGAATTAGTGTTATTAACTATCTCTACGAAAGAGAGTTCTGACTCAGTCATTGATTATTCTATTATATCTGTGTCTAGCTTCAGACACAAGCACGTCACAGTTATGCCTTGGGGAGCTGAGGGCAGTCAAGGATGACAAGGATGTTCAAGTTCGTTTATTGAGACAATAAAATACAGCGCAAAGGAATAGAGTAGCTTAGGCTATTTCTACTCTTCTCTAGCAAGGAGTCACTTACAATTAGCTTGTCGACTTTGGATTCATATATGCGCTTGACTGCAAGGATTATGGA